GTGTGTAAGCACCTTGATCCCACATGGCTGACCCTGCGGTTTGAGTCCTGGACTCGGCAGCTTGAGAAACACTGGGCACATGTGTGTGCATGCCCAAAGCCGTGAGAGGAGAGCTGGAAGGGAAGGGTTTGCCACGCGGCCATTCTCCACAGACGGTGCTTTCTCACCACCCTCTCTAAGCACATGAGCCCTGCGGGAAACTTTTCTAAAAAGAGAATGCCTATAGTGGTTATGTGAAAATACTAAGCGTTGAGGGTTTTCTTTCGTTTTAGGTTTCTGTTACAAAGTGTGTGAGCTCGCCAGAGGGAGGCAGAGAGAGACTGTGAGACAGGAAGTGAGAAATCACCCCCTGGGGAGATGGCCATGCCACAGTCTCCTCTCCGCCGTTCTCCTCCTAGGATCTGGGGCGTGCAGGCACACGTGCGCAGCATGATCCCCAAGCCATCAGGCCCGGAACCAGAACCAGAACCGTGGTCAGCCATGTGCGAGTCCAGAACCTCAACCACTACACCATCATAGTGGTTGTGATTTTTATTCATGACAAAGACATGGGTACTAACAGCTATGGAATGTTATTTATATTCATAATTAAAGGGAACCATGAATTTCAGTTACAGAGTTAGGAAAAATAGAGATTTTCCCCCCTGTACAAGTTCATAGACTCCCTGTATTTTATTTATTAACTTTTTTGTTTTTTTGAGAGGTTTTTGCTATAGGGCGCATGCACGCTCCAGAAAAACAGAGAGAGACAGAGAGAAATCACCCCCCAGGGGGCATGGCCATGTCATAATCCCTTCTCCATTCTTCTCTTGGGATCTTGGGCACGCACACACATGTGCCTGCATGAGTTTAAGCCCCCGGGTCCGAGACTCCAACCGTGGTCGACTACATGGGAGTCCAGTGACATAGCCACTATGCTGGTCCCATTTATTAACTTTTTAGAGAGATTTTTGCTCTAGGGAGCATGCGCTCGCCGGAGAGATACAGAGAAACAGAAAGTGAGAAGTCACCCCACTACATTTTATTTTTTGTTATGTTTACTTTTTTAATCTTTCTGCAGATCATGGTTGACTAACATTCAAATTGAAGGAGTATGAGATGGTCTCTACTTTGAGCACCACTTTCTTAGATAAATTAGAATTAAAGAGGCACAAAACACTGTAAAATTTTGACTCCTAGACTTCTGAGTACCTCACCCAAGCAACAACTGCATTATAAGTAAATATGGAGAAGCATTTCAGTGTATTTCTGTGCAAGGCCCTGACTTATATATTGGGATCGAGTCTAGGTCTCTAAGGGCCAGCCAGTGGCGTGGTGGGTAAATGACTGGATCTCCCATGATTGACTGCATGGTTCAAGTCCCAGAGTATGTGCGTGCCCCAGGTCCCAAGAGTAGAATGGAGATGAAGGGATTGTGGCATGGCCGTCTTCCCCGGGGGGTCATTTCTCACTTTCTGTCTCTCTGGCAAGCTCACATACCCTATAGCAACAACAACAACAACAAAAATGATTTCTGGAATCAGGAACCTGGGAGGCAGCTTTCACTAGATGGCCATGTGACGCTGGGTCTCTCAGCCTCCGTTACATGTCCACAACACAGACGACAACGGGCTGCCCCGGCGTCATGCCGATCAGGTGAAATCTCGGGGGCGTTCGTTACGGTACTGGCACGCGTTTGTCCATCAAGTCATCAGAGATCTGATTACAAGAGAATTCCGTTTGCTTAAAAACTTGCGCCTGGCCCCGCCTCAGCAGCGTGTGCTTTGATGCTGTCTCTCCAGCCTGAGTCTGTGTGGGAATTGCAGGTTTGATTCCTGGTCCAACCTAAAAGCCAGGTATAGTGTTGTACACCTCACATTCCAAGCACTCGGAGACTGAGGCAGGAGGATGGTGACCTTGAAGGTGGCCTGGGCAGTTTAGCGAGACCCAGTTTCACTCAGCTGGGGGCTATCAGGTGGCATGGTGGTTAAAGCGCTGGATCCCACATGGCTGACTTGTGGTTTGAATCCTGGACCCAGCGGCTTGAAAACCATGTCTGACACATGTGTCTGCATACCCACAATCCCACGGGGAGAATGGAGAAGGGGTTGCAGTGTAGCGTACCCCCGGTAACAGCTGGGCGTGCTAGTAGTACGTGCCTGTGGTCCCAGCTGGCATGCCTCATGAGACACGAGGATCTCAACAGCACAGCCCCAGTCTTCACAAACAAACATAACAAAACTATCCTTCAGAGGTAAGCCGGGGGTGTGTCTAATGCACAGTGGGAATGAGCAGGCTGGCTGCCTCTGACCTCAGGGAGCAGGAGGGTGGGCTTGGGCGTATAGGAGTCCTTAAAGCACGTCATGTGTTCTACTTCACAGTCATTTTTTCTAACACTAGTGCCTATGAGGTTAGAGGGGTTTTTTTGTTCCTGTCTCTCTTCCCTCCCTTCTCTCTCTCTCTCTCTCACACACACACACATACACACCACCATCTCATAGTGTCGTGTCCTGTGCTTTCTGCCTGTTAGGCTTATGAGTCTGGGTTACGTGTGCGTTTAACTCTAGAAGCAGTTTGTTGTAGCAGAGAGCTGGCGATGGAGGCTCGGGAGGTCTGGCCCTGGTCTCTGACGTGACAGGATTGGCCCATTGGGGATGTCAGACTAGCAGGTTTAAGAACCACTGTAGGACTCACTGCAATACAGGTTCCTTCCCTTGGGACCCAAGGATCCACATTCTACCTGGCCTTAGAACCGCACTCTTAGCACTGGACCAGGCCAGAGTTACAAGTGGCAGAGTCTCTTTAGACTCCTTAAATATGATTGAACTGGGCTGTAATTTAGAAGCTTTTTTTTTCCCTGGGATGATGCGAGAACTGTTTGTCATAAGTAATGAGCAGGTGGGTCCTTTAGGCGTGTGGCCGTGTGTCCTCACAAGACCCCCTCCCCCAAGTGCATCCTCAGTCGACCACGGTTGGATTTTTTCCCCCTAAGCTGAGAATCAAAAACTTATTTGTGTGTTTTTTTTTTTTCCCTCCCCAAAAGGTGTGGTCACTGCCAAAGGTTAACACCAGAGTGGAAGAAAGCAGCGACTGCCTTAAAGGTAGGTCTCCGAGCTGCCGCAGTCACCTCCGTGTGTCCAGACCGGCGGGGAGGCAGTACGTGCCTGTGGTCCCAGCTGGCATGCCTCATGAGACACGAGGATCTCAACAGCACAGCCCCAGTCTTCACAAACAAACATAACAAAACTATCCTTCAGAGGTAAGCCGGGGGTGTGTCTAATGCACAGTGGGAATGAGCAGGCTGGCTGCCTCTGACCTCAGGGAGCAGGAGGGTGGGCTTGGGCGTATAGGAGTCCTTAAAGCACGTCATGTGTTCTACTTCACAGTCATTTTTTCTAACACTAGTGCCTATGAGGTTAGAGGGGTTTTTTTGTTCCTGTCTCTCTTCCCTCCCTTCTCTCTCTCTCTCTCTCACACACACACACATACACACCACCATCTCATAGTGTCGTGTCCTGTGCTTTCTGCCTGTTAGGCTTATGAGTCTGGGTTACGTGTGCGTTTAACTCTAGAAGCAGTTTGTTGTAGCAGAGAGCTGGCGATGGAGGCTCGGGAGGTCTGGCCCTGGTCTCTGACGTGACAGGATTGGCCCATTGGGGATGTCAGACTAGCAGGTTTAAGAACCACTGTAGGACTCACTGCAATACAGGTTCCTTCCCTTGGGACCCAAGGATCCACATTCTACCTGGCCTTAGAACCGCACTCTTAGCACTGGACCAGGCCAGAGTTACAAGTGGCAGAGTCTCTTTAGACTCCTTAAATATGATTGAACTGGGCTGTAATTTAGAAGCTTTTTTTTTCCCTGGGATGATGCGAGAACTGTTTGTCATAAGTAATGAGCAGGTGGGTCCTTTAGGCGTGTGGCCGTGTGTCCTCACAAGACCCCCTCCCCCAAGTGCATCCTCAGTCGACCACGGTTGGATTTTTTCCCCCTAAGCTGAGAATCAAAAACTTATTTGTGTGTTTTTTTTTTTCCCTCCCCAAAAGGTGTGGTCACTGCCAAAGGTTAACACCAGAGTGGAAGAAAGCAGCGACTGCCTTAAAGGTAGGTCTCCGAGCTGCCGCAGTCACCTCCGTGTGTCCAGACAGGCGAGCAGCGGGCCGGGGTGCAGCCGGAGCAGTGCCCGTGTCCAAGGCCAGCGTGTGGTTCTCCTGCCGGCATCGGTAGGGAATATCGGGCAGTGCACTTTTCTGTTTTTCTGCTGTCTGGTTTTGTTCGTTCTGTTCCCAGATAGGTGGGGTCATTCCTCTTGGGCATGCTGAGTCCCCTCCAGGAGCTGCCGTGACTACATTTCACACTCCCTCCTGGCTTTCAAGGCCAACGGCCTCAATGACCACATGTAAACTTCACCCTGCCCTCTCTTACCGTCTCTGAGTCTGAAAATCAGGTTACAGATTCTTGTGGAATCTTCCCTGATTGAAAGAAGAATAGAGATTTCTGGGGCTAGCAGGTGGCATGGTGATGGAGGTGCTGGACTCCCACATGGCCGACCACAGTTCGAATCCTGGACCTGGTGGCTTGTTTTCTTACTTTGCCTGTGTCTCTCTCTGGTCAAATTAAAATAAAATGAATAGACAAAATAAATGATTTTTTTTAAAAAAGAAGAACAGAGATTTCCCTTCTGTCTCCACAGGATGTTGTGAAAGTCGGTGCAGTAGATGCAGATAAACACCAGTCCCTCGGAGGTCAGTATGGCGTCCAGGGGTTTCCGACCATCAAGATTTTTGGATCCAACAAAAACAGACCGGAAGATTATCAGGGTAAGAACTTTTCCTAGCTGCTCCATCCTCCCGGCGGAGAGAGTCTCGGGTTCTGTAACTGGTTAGCTGTGCTGCCTGCCTGCGGGTCTCGGTTCCCCTGTCTGGAATTTCCTCGTGTGCTCACGGGATCGAGTGGTTGTTCTGAAGATGAAGTATGAGTCCCCCGGAGGAGTTTTCGAGTCATGGTCGATGCGGGTTTGGCGTACTCCCCCGGACAGTGATGGGGTGATGGTGCCCTGTGCCCCCTTGCCCTCCTCACAGTCCTTACATGTGGTAAAGACATAGCAGCGCTTCCCTGCTCCGCCCTCCTCCCTGTGCTCTAGCTGAAGACTTATGTTGGCGTGAAGGAGACGGCCCTGATATCTGAAAGCCAGTTTAAACTGTTGGTATTACTATGGCTTCTTCTCCCCTGGATCTTTATGCCTTAGAAACATATCTGGCATTTGAACATTAAAGCTGTTATTTCAGGACCAGCAGATAGCATAATGGTTATATCGCTGGACTCCCATGTATTCAACCACGGTTCAAGTCCCGGACCCAGCGGCTTAGAACTCACACCAAGCACGTGTGAGTGCATGCCCAAGATCCTGAGAGGAGAATGGAGAAGGGATTTGTGGTGTGGCTATCCCCCAGGGGATGATTTCTTGCTTTTTGTCTGTCTGTCTGTCCAACAAGCACACCCACTCTATCACAAAAATCTCTTTAAAAGAAAAAAAAAGCTGTTATTTTATCTCCTAAACTGTGGATAATAAGTAAGTACCACAGAGTCTCCCTGTTATCACGAACAAATTATCTTATTTAAGATAATCAGAATTGCTAGGTGGGCTAGATCCATGGTCATAAAGTTTTGTGCATTTAAAGCTGACACTAAGGTACTTTGATATTTTCCCCCTTAAGAATCTGTGACATGGGTCATGGCAGTAGCTGAACCTTGTCTGCATCTGGGGTTTTTGCTGTGTGGACAGTGGTGCGTGAGGGGCTGGGCGGCAGAGCCGCATTACGGAGCACCGAGAGCTATTGCGTTGTCTGTACTTGGAGTCTTGCCGGGTCCTGTGGCCAGAGAGCAGGACGGTGGAGGAGGTGCAGGACCTACCGCGAGTGGCCTGCGGGCAGCCTGGCCGTGCCGCCCGGCCTCGCCATGCTGCTTCCCTGCTGGACGGTACCTCATCCCTTCTGCTGCTGCTCTGTGAAGCGGGCATGGAACCCCTTTCAGGCTGCAGGAGCTTTTTCTATTTCATTTATTTATTTATTTATTTTTTGCTATAGGGCGCGTGCGCTCGCCAGACAGACAGAGAGAGAGACATAGAGACAGAAAGCAAGAAATCACCCCCCAGGGGGGGATGGTCACGCCGCAATCCCTTCTCCTCCATTCTCCTCTTGTGATCTTGGGCACGCACGCACACGCACCGAGCATGAGTTTTAAGCCACTGGGTCTGGGACGCGAACCGCGGTTGACTACGTGGGAATCCAGCGACATAGCCATTATGCTAACTGCTGGTTCCCAGGCTACAGGAGCTTAATTGTAATAGTGCATTCAAAACACACGAGAGAAAGGATACTAGTAAACGCTAGTGGAGTCTAAGCTGGGAGCCCTCACTTCTGGATGCCCCAGCTCCATGAAATGATCAGTTTCATTTTTCTCCCTCTTTTTTTTTTGAGAGGTTTTTGCTATAGGATGCATGCGCTTGCCAGAAAGAGAGAGACAGAGAGACAGAAAGCGAGAAATCACCCCCCGGGGGGGATGGCTACACCGCAATCCCTTCTCCTCCATTCTCCTCTCGGGATCTTGGGCACGCACGCACACACACCCGGCGTGAGTTTAAGCCACTAGGCCCAGGACTCGAACCACGGTTGGCTACATGGGAGTCCAGCAACATAGCCAGTACACCAATTGCTTGTCCATCAGTTTCATTTTTCTAAGTGAACATCAGCTTTTTTTGCTTTAGGGTAATTTGTTATACCTTCGCTAACTCGTAGAGCTGAACGTCTGGAGCCTTTGCCGGCTGTTTTCCTAAGTACCGCTCTCCAGGACTAGCCTCCCGCGTTCACTCGTGTCCTGTCTGGCTGAGCTGCTTTCCGACTCGAGGGACTGAGCTGGATAGACAGAGGGGCTCGCAGAGCGGGCACCTGTACCTCGGGTCCTCTGCAGGATGGGCGTGCTGCCTGCCTGGAGGGAGAAAGCCCTTCCTGACTTGTTTTCCCAGGACAGCCCTTGGCATGGCCCGTTTCCAGGCACAGGGGTGGGGCTCAGCTCAGAAAGTACTAATGGCAGGTGAGGGCAGGCAGTTTTGTTTCTCACTTGTTTTTAAGTTTGTCATAGGGCACTTGAGTTTGCGGGGCAGTGGGAGGAAAAATCACCCCCAGGGGGCATGGCCACCCTACAATCCCTTCTCCATTTTCCTCGCAGGACTTTGGGCACACATGCACTCGTGCCCAGCATGATTTTCAAGCTGCCAGGCCTGGGACTCAAACTGCACAGTTAGCCATATGGGGCCAACTGCCTTACTATCCACACCAACTGTGGGCTCTCCGGGGCTGACTTCGTGTTGAGATCTTGCTCACTGTGTTAGGGAGCGTTGTCAGGAAAGGCCTCACCTGTTTGTGCATAGAGAAACAGAAAATATGTCGGGATTTTCCCAATAACCTAACACTTGGCAGTCGGAACCTGGATGCAGGGCAGGGTTGTCTGAGCGTATTCTCAGTGTTTCTGGGCTGTTTTCTGTCCAGAGTAAGATCTGAGATGTGCTCAGAAGTCTCTATTTCTTCCTGGGCAGTTTGATTATAAAGCTCCAAAAGAGAAAATAAAAAAGACCAATAGAGAGATGAAATGCCTAAAAAGATTCTGTTAGACGTTTGCCTTGAACTCTGGTGTCAGCTCCCCCTCCCCCCCCCAAGAGATTTTTGCTGTAGGGCACGTGCGCTTGCCAGAAAGACAGAGAGACAGAAAGCGAGAAATCAACCCCCAGGGGGGATGGCCACGCCGCAATCTCTTCTCCTCCGGTCTCCTCTTAGGATCTTGAGCATGCACGCACATGCGCCTGGTGTGAGTTTAAGCCACCAGGTCCGGGACTCGAGCTGTGGTCGACTATGTATATGGGAGTCCAGCGACATAGCCATTACGCTAACTGCTGGTCCCTGGAGTCAGCTTTATGGTATTTATTATCCTATACTTTGTCAGTTACAAGCTCCCCATTCTGAGCATGTCATTATTGGACTTCCAAAGACTATTGTCACCTTGCCACATGGAGTTCTGGTGTAGTTACTTCTTATGTGAGGATTAAGTTCAGCTTGGCAGAGTGTCATTAACCGAGGAGGAGAAAGCCCGCATTGCTGTCTGTTCCTTGGCTTCACAGACACCTCATGTCCAACTTCTGTAAGTCTCTCCGTCTGTTCTCATGGGGGTGGTTTCTCTGGGGCCAGCAGACAGTGGGTAAGACGGCTGGATCCTACCTGGTCGACTGCACAGCTTAAGACTTGAACTCAGCAGCTTGAAAGAACTTACCAGGGGGACCAGCAGATGCCCTAATGGTTATGTTGCTGGACTCCCACATAGTTGATTGTGGTTCGAGTCCCAGACCTGGTAGCTTAAAACTCAAGCTGGGTGCACATGTGTCCATACCCAAAATCCTAAGAGAAGACTGGAGGAGAAGGGATTAGCGTGACCCACCCCCTTGGGGTGATTTCTCACTTTCTGTCTCTTTCTCTCTCTCCACACACTATAGCAAAAATCTCTCTCAAAAAAAAAAAAGAAAGAAAGAAAGAAAGACAGACATCCTAGGTATGTGGCCAAAATCCTAAGAGGAGGATGGAGAAGATGGGATTGTTGAGTGGCCACACTTCTTTCCCTCTCATTCTGTTTCCGGAGAGGGCACTTGTCCTATAGCAAAAAAATAAGTTTAAAAAGAAAAACGGAGTGATTCCTCTGTATTTGGACACGTGCCCTGCCTCCCCGCTAGAGGGTAAGCTGCTGTTGGTGTGTGCGTGTGGAATATGCAGGACACATTCGTGAGCCACGGTTCTCGTTAGTAGCTCGCAAGTAGGGGATGAGTAGGGAGCTCTTGGCCACACTAATCGAGGACTGAAGACGAGGAGTGGGTTTTCCCAGTAAAGCCTAGAACAGATCGCATTCGGGGAAGAAAGCGTGCTCTGCCGAGTCTCTGCGGTGCTGGCCTGTTCCGGCCAGCAGAGCTGACACGCAGGCCACGTGGGGAGGCCTTCACTCGGCACTGTCCTGCAGGTGGCAGAACCGGTGAGGCCATTGTCGATGCTGCCCTCAGTGCCCTGCGCCAGCTCGTGAAGGATCGCCTGGGGGGAAGGAGCGGCGGCTACAGTTCTGGAAAACAGGTAGGCTACGGAGGTGCTGGGTGGTGTGCACAGGACTTCTGGACAGTTAGGCTGCGGAGTCCGTTTGTAATGTTGGCGGGAACCCGGGGAACAAGTGTGGGCCTCCTGTAGAAGATAGTCTTGTCTTTTTGTTTGTTAATATTTTAATTGGTGAGCTTTCAACTAGAAGATAATACTGGGTTGGGCCAACTGATCCCAAACGGAGCCGGCCGCCAGGCCTCTCGGGACTACTTCTTGGGACTGGTTAGTCTCCTGGCAATTGGCCCCAACTGCAGGCCGAGAACCAGGCCCCAGATAGGCTTCTGCGGCCCAGGGCTGCAATGGAAGCATTTGAGCGGCAGAGGGAGCTGGAGCTCCAGGCCCAGGGAGCTGGCTCTTGGATCCCACGGCGGCAAAATTCCAGCATGCAGAGGCTAGACCTGCCGTCCTCCGGCCCATGTCTGGCAGCCCCTGAAATCCATGGAAGTCCTGTTCCACGACTGCTGTTCGAGACGCCCTGTAGGAAACGTGGTGCATAACTACAGAGCGCGTCTACCCTGGAAAAGGGCGTTAAATTACATGGACCAGGTGACCTTCCTCTCTTAGGAGACCCTAAAACCAGCTTCCGTGCACCCTTAGTGCCCGGCCCTGGCTCCCACTCAGCTATTCAGTGTGTTCAGCTTCTCGGACCCCTGCTCCCTCGCGTGGCTTTTAGAAGCAGAGCACGGTCCAGCAATCTGGCTGCTGCCCCAGTTATTCCTGAGGAAAATGCTTCCAGGAAAGAAGGGGCTACCTGTTATTTCTAACTTTCTGGGCTGGTAGGGACTTCCCCTGCGAAAAGAGTAACTGCAGCGTGGTGTAGCGTGCTGGGGACGGGTCAGCTGTGCCTGCTGGGTCAGAGCCAGTAGGTGGTCGCAAGCCTGTGGAAGCTTCTCTGAGAAAGAGGCAGGTGATGGGAGTCGGTACAGGTCACGTGTTACACTGCATGTACCAGAAATTGATGAAAAGCAAAGACTGCTTGCCCAGCAAAACTTAGGTTTAGGAAGTTTTTATTCACTGTAGTTTTCACTGTTTTCTTCACTAAGGAAAAATGCAAAAACTCCAAGGTTGGAAGCCATCACTGTTAAACGTATATTTAGAATTTGGAACAGGAATCGTGTTCTCTGGGTGGGTGGTGGTCTGATGCGCGGTGTCGTGAATGGCGGTCTGATGCGCGGTGTCGTGGACGGCAGGGCGGGAGCGAGAGTCCGAGTAAGAAGGATGTGATCGAGCTGACGGACGACAGCTTCGATAAGAACGTCCTTGACAGCGGAGATGTTTGGATGGTGGAGTTTTACGCTCCCTGGTGTGGACACTGCAAAAAGTGAGTACCGTAGGCCAGGTCTCCTGGCTCCTCGGCCATGGTGCTTTTTGTACCTTCATCTAAAGAGACTGTAAATGCCCCAGGGGCTCCCCCAGAAGTGGATCTTAAACGTTGTCATCAGGGACCAGCAGTTAGCGTAATGGCTATGTCGCTGAACTCCCATGTAGTCAACCGCAGTTCGAGTCCCGGACCCAGTAGCTTAAACTCACACCGGACATGTGTGTGTGCATGCCCAAGATCCCGAGAGGAGAATGGAGAAGCGGTTACGGCATGGCCATCCCTCCTGGGGGGGCCATCCCTCCTGGGGGGTGACTTCTTACTTTCTATCTCTCTGTCTCTGTCTTTCTGGTGAATGCATGCGCCCTATAGCAAAAACCTCTCAAAACAAAGCAAAACAAAAAACATTGTCATCAGAGCCGAGCGTTTCTGGCAATCCGCAGGGCCGGCTAATGTCCAGACGGGAGCGAGGGCGGCCTGGGGAGCAAGGGCGAAGGGCGCTGTGGAACCTTCCAGAAACCCATGCAGACTGTTTCCCAGCGTGACTGGCTGGGGTGGGGCAGAAACACAGAGCCGATGATGCTTCAGCTGTGAGCTACTTTGTCAAAGGCAGCTTTAAAGTGCAGATGTTTCCTCCAGCCTGGAGCCAGAGTGGGCCTCCGCGGCCACCGAGGTGAAAGAGCAGACGAAGGGGAAAGTGAAGCTGGCTGCTGTGGACGCCACGGTCAACCAGGGGCTGGCCAGCCGATACGGGGTGAGTGCATGAGGGCAGCGCACGGTATTGCCACGATCGCTGTATCCAGCGCCCCAGGCCTCCCTGTGAGTAGGAGGGGTATGTTTAGCCCTTGGGAAACGGAGCGGCAAGTCATTGCGTTATCAGAATTCAGAAGCCTGGAGCTCGGGACGTTGACTTCTTCCTCGTGTCACGTTACTTCCCGTGAGGCTTCAGTGTGCCCAGGCTTTTCGCAGTTGCTGCCTGTGGTGTTTAAAAGTGGGACCGCTCGGGACCAGCAGATGGCATAATGGTTACGTTGCTGGACTCCTAAGTAGTTGACTATGGTTCAAGTCCTGGACCTGGCAGCTTAAAACTCAGGCCAGGTGCGAGTGCGTGCATGCCCGAGATCCCAAGAGACGATTTGGCCGTACCCCTGGGGGGTGACTTCTCACTTTCTTTTTCTCTATCTGTCTCACACACCTATAGTAAAAATCTCTCTTAAAAAAAGTGGGTCTGCTTGCTCAGATTCATGGTGTTAATTATATGCCCAGAGCCTGAAGATCTGGCGAAGCTTTGCGGGCAGGCCGTTAAACTCCCAGTTGATCTCTGAGTCATCCGTGTAACAGTGACACAGGCTGGGATATTTTTGTTACATCAGATTACCTGTAAGAGGTTTGGAAAACCGTAAAGATTGTTATACTTTTTATTAAATATTAATTTGATTTTACTCTGATCCGTTTTATGTACTAGATCAGGGGATTTCCCACAATCAAGATATTTCAGAGAGGCGAGTCTCCCGTGGACTACGATGGTGGACGGACGAGATCCGACATAGTGGCGCGGGCCCTCGATTTGTTTTCCGACAACGCCCCCCCTCCGGAGCTGCTCGAGGTAACCTTCCGGCGGCCAGCCGGAAAGCTTCCCTGGTGCTGCAGAGCAGTATCAGAGTCAACTCACATTAAGCTTTTTGTTCTTTGTAAAAATACTCTTTAAAGTGGTTTTGTAGTTTCAAATGGAAAAACTGATAAATTGCTTTTTTCATACCTTTGCACCAAGATAACTGCACTGTGAGCAAAAGCATACCCGAGTTCTTACAGAATGGTTTCTCTTCCGCTCCTCCTCAGAACAGTGGCCAACGCTAATTGAGCACCTAACGTGTCGAGGGCACTGTTCGGTAGTTTTAAGTTTGTTTTCACGGAAACTCTGAGAGGTGGATACTGCTGTTATCCCTGTCTGACTGAGGAAGAAACTAAGGCACAGAGCTGTGTAAATACAGGGCACTTGGGGCACCTCCACCTGGACAGGTGGCCAGGGCCAGCCTCGCAGAGGCCTTGTGCTTCCGGGGAGCCCGCGTGCACACTGATGGCTCCTGCACAGACGCTGGCTTAGGGGCAGCCTGGACCTCTCAGGGAGCACGGCTGCTGC